GAAGTCGTTAGGAAAGAATTAGACAATCATGGGATTCAAAAACGAGTCTATGTACCATTGACTAAATTGAGAAAACGAAAGGAGATATTAAAGAGTGAAGAGAAAATGGTTGAGGCTAATACAGAAACGACCGGTGTTCTGGACAAGGGGAATAGTCCAACATCAAAATTTGATGGAAATAGTGGCCAGCAGTGAGTTTATGAATGATTTCGTTCGTATTGCTTTTACTCAACACTTTTAATAATTTATTCCAGAGACTAGCGTGTGGAATTACCGCGAGATCATCAGGAGTCTTCGAAAATACGAAAAGAATTCGTGCCTGCCATGGGACGACCCTGTGGGATGAGCGAGATGAGTCTAAACAAAAAGGTTCATTCAAAAATACTTTCATATATCCAGGTAAATGCACCTTAGCCTAATACTCGTAGTATTTACCGATTAAATACAATTTTAAAAACCAATGTTTTGTGTGTCTTTTCAGTGTGTGGTAATAAAGTGCACTTTTTGAAAACTACTATAAATTTATTTCTGTATGCAGGTCATGTAAAAGTCATATCATTCCATAATATTCCTGATGAAACATTTTTATATTTCAGTTTTTACTTATGAGGAGGGCTGAAGGTATTTATAACTCAAATAAAAATTCAATATAAACCCATAAATAAATGTTTATTGTGTTCGATCAGATTGATTCAATTCGTAATTTATCATTTATCAGTGTGCGTGACGTAAAGAAAATAATAATAATCCAAAAAGGTATGCGAATAACTAGGAAAATTCGATCGAATGAGAATAAATCATTCGTTATCAGAACCACTGTCGTCAGAATTAGTTCTGCCTCGAATTGTTTTTGATTTCTTGTTTCCAAAGAGTAGATTAGACGGCTTCTTTCCCTTTTCTGGTGGATTCAACAGGTCACCAGTGTATGATATTGCACCAGACTGAGCTATTCTCCACTCCATCATCTCTGCGGAAAAATCGTCGCAATTTCCGAGGTCCGTGAAGCCTATGATGTAGTCTTTTGTCTTGTTGTTTGAGATGAGGGCTATCGTGGAAATTATTTCGATCCACATTATGGAAATAGCTTTAAGAAAGCTTGGGCGGCGAAAGGTGTTCACTGCTGGATAACCCCCTGTTGACGATTTCGGTTTCCTCTTAAGCTCTCGCATTTTGTCTACCTTCACCTTTCGTAAATGCAGTATCTTTCTTCGGGTCAAGAATTGATCCGGGAATTCATCGACTTCTGTATCTCCCGATAAGCATTTCTCAGCTATTTTCTCGACACGAAGGAGAATGAAAATAAAAATCACAATTATCATTGTTCATGTAATGCTTTTTTATTCTCCTCGAGTTGGGGTTGCTTTACTACATTGACTTCGGCCAAAGAACGATTTCCAGCGATCAGAACTTCCTTTTCAGATTCCAATTCTTTAAACTAGAAAACCTCACGGAAAGTTAGTGAGTCGCATATCTAATAATAAGACAAGAAAATAATGAGACAACCGCCTTATTATCCATTTATTGTCATCGATTAAATAATTCACCTGTTTTATCTCATTGAAAATAATATAAGGTATGATACAAGCAGGTATTGCCAAGCCAGGAACAGGGGACAATTTCTCTCAGGCGGCACGAGATAGTGCGGCGGTCACTATCACCTTCCCCTCATCTCCGTGTCATCCCCACTCTGCAGCTGTTCGGCACTGGTGGGACTATTTAAAAAATGATAATTGCAAATAGCAGGAAAAAATGTGAAATATATTTTAAAAAATCAGAAAATAGCGGAAAAAAAATGAGAGCAAAAATTATTGTTATTTACTGTTTTATTTAATTTCCTTCCATGGAAAAACCTTTTTTTCCCATCCATTGACTTAGTGGATTAGGCCTACAGGGGATACCACGTTAAAAAAAACGCGTCAATGACTCTACCCCTTGGGTGACGTGGAAAGAGTTTCACTCTAATTACTTGATTTATGAAACACTCAAACACTCCAGCATTGCGTGTGGTGCCCTCCCTCTCTTGGGGTACAGTACTACGATGCAGCTGGTGTCACTCAAACCCTCAGAACTGAGCCTCTACTTTAGTCAATCCTCTTTGAGCTCAACAGCCCAGTTAGTAAATCAATGAATTTTCGAAAGTGAAGTGAAATAAAAACAAATAGAGATGGTGGATGCTTCGACAAAGAAAAGTTTGAGTGGAATTCCTCTCTTGAAAACAAAAGCTGGACCTCGGGATAACGAACTTTGGCCGAAAAGGCTCCAGGAGGAATTGACATGTCTGATTCAGGTACATTGACTGATTGACTTGTACAGCCATATGTTCTGTCATTTTTACACTGTCGTTTTTTATTGTAGTACACGAAGAATAATAAAGAAGCGGACAATCATTGGTTCCACTTGCAACCGAATGAGGGTGGAACCAAGTGGTTCGGAAAATGTTGGTTTATCCATAATTTGTTGAAGTACGAGTTCGATGTTGAATTCGATGTGAGTAAGAAAGTCTATTGATATCAGTAGTGGGTGGTGAAAGGATGCTCAGTTGAGTTGAAACTTGGGTTTTTTCAAAAATAAAAAAAATTGATCTCTATAAATTATGTGCCAGTTTTCATCCCCATTTTTCCCAGATTCCTGTAACGTATCCAATGACAGCTCCAGAGTTGGCATTACCAGAATTAGATGGGAAAACCGCTAAAATGTACCGAGGAGGGAAAATATGTCTCAGTGACCACTTCAAACCACTTTGGGCTCGCAATGTTCCTAAATTTGGAATTGCTCATGCAATGGCACTCGGGGTACGTCTGATACTTCGTGTAATTGTTAATTAAAATACTCAAGGAACATTACTATTTCAGCTCGGGCCCTGGATGGCCGTTGAGGTCCCCGACTTGATCGAGAAAGGAGTGATAAAGCACAAGGATCAATGCGACTCCAAATAACGATAAATGCATTCTATAATTAATTATCCTGTTCATTCCCATCTTTATGCAAGAAATAATGCAAAACTGGCAGAGAAAAGTTTTACTGTACAAAACAAAACTTTATTGTGTTAAATAAATTATATTTTACATTTCATATTGAACAATACTCTATTTTTCGTCATCTAATTTGATTTTCTTGGTATCTTTAATGATTTCGTCTAATTTGTACAGGTCTTTCAGGGATACATCTCCAGTCCCTCTGTCCAAGGGCTTCGGTTGCGAAGCGTCTGGCTTCCAACCCAGCATATAAATTATTTGAAACGTCGCAGGAACATAAATACTCCCATCATCCTTCGTCTTCCCATAGAGCTCCTCGTAAATAGCTGCAGCAGCCAGTGCAGTCTCTCGTTTCAGGTGCAACTTTCTATTCCTAGCTGCATTATTTTCTGCCATTCCTGAAGTAAACATAATTTTTATAATCTAAAACATGTAAAAATCACCTGAGTCGTCTAAAGAACGTGAACAGTTCCTTCGAATTACCTTTCAAGTCCGACATAACTTCAAACATCGAAGGATACCCAATAACCATTTCATCACAATCAATAGTTAACATAGTGAATCCAGCTCTCGTCATCAAGCTGCCAATATCCCTAATTTGTGTGAATGGTGAGACGTGAGGAGCGATTCCTCCATCCCTCTCCAATTCTGCGAGTTGCAGGGAACTTCTGAAGAATGCAGTAACGACAATTGTATACAATATCTCTTCGTTATTATGAAATTCTAATAATTAATTATTAATATTATTTCAAGAGTGATCCATTTTTCTTAAAGTCATTTAAAGCACTGCCCGATTAAGATGTCCTACCTCAATTCATAGAGAGTATCGCCCCCGAAAATTGCACCCATAAAGACCCCATCATTCTTAAGGCTCTGAATGATTTTGCTGAAACACCCAGGAAGATCATTAACCCAGTGAAGACTCAAGCAGCTTAACACAAGATCGAGACTGTTCTGCTCCAGAGAGAAATTTTCTTCATCAAGAATTTTCCTCTCGATCTCGACATTCTCAGGAACCATCGCTTGCTCGACGAAGCTCGAAGACATGTCAGCTAGAATTAATTTCTTCACGCTATCAGAATGAATATTCCTGGAGACATAGCCCCGACCGCATCCCAAGTCCAGAGCACATTGAAATTCTCTTTTTATATCAAATACTCTGTCAGCGAGTCTGAAACCCACTTCTTCTTTTAGATAATCGTACAATTTCACCTCTGGGTCTCTAGCTGCTCTCTCTCGTTGTAAAAGTTTGGCATTCCTATCGAAAACATTCATCACACTGTTGGGAGGTAGATTTCTGCAGCATGAAGAAGTGGCAATACTCCGCAGATTCAAAACTCTTGTTTTTGTGAGGTTAAGAGTCATTTTTATCACTTTTCACTAATTTCTAATTGTATTTCAGAGTTTCTTCAGTTATTCTAGGGAAAAGAGAACGGTTATTACTTGCAGCAATCCCTTGAATTTATTGAAAAGAGTTGAACGTCTCTTCTGGGAAGCAAAAGTGATAAACTTCCATGTTTATATTATCGGCTCCAAAACACGTACACGTGACTTGACTTCGAAGTTTGGCTCTGAAAAACTTCGAATCAATTAATCATGAATTAATGAATTATTTTAATTATAGGAAATCGGACTTTATGATTTATTAAATTCTATATTTAAAAAAAGTCTCATAATTAATTCCGCAAGTTTTTCTTATTCTTAATTCATGCGCATCTATCTATTCTGGAACAAATTTATTCCAATAATTTGCATGAAAAATAAAATATCTGTAAAGAGACGTCAAATATCTTAATGAATTCAGCTTATAAAAGGTAAAATCCAAATATTTAAAAAATCAGTGAGAGCCAATATAATTATTCGCATAAGGTAATACAAAACAATGTGACTGGTTCAGAGTAAGAATGTAAGTTCTTTCGGTGGTGTTATATCAATTCAACGAGGCATGACATGCGGAAATTATTGAATGAATGAAAAATTGACGCATGTGCGACTCATAAAACGAAAATAAAATTATCATTCCATTAATCAGTGCTGCGTCAATGTCTTAATTATACGTTAACACCGTTGAACACTTCCGGATTGTTCTTAAATTAATTAATGAACGAATGAGCAAAAGTCTAAATAATATTCAATCACATGAATTAAGATCTTAATTAGCGTGATAAAAATGGTCTTAACAAAAAATTACTTACCTCCCGTAATTTCGGAGATATCTCCGAAAAATTAATGTAATGATCTCCTTATAACACTTAGCCACTAATTGTATGCCATAAAATCGAATCCACGTGGAAAGTTAACAAGATTATTGAACTCTCAATTACATTGTATAAAATTTCAGCAATAGATTATTTGGTGAGGGAGTTTATGAAGACAACTGGAGGTCTTAGAGATTTCGTAACCAAGGTCACGGCCACTATACCCACGTATGTAGAGAATTCACACTCCGTATGTAAATGAAAAGTTTATCGGTGTCATGTGTCAGGAAAATCAGTGCCTCCACGAGTTGACGGTTTAAAAAAAATTCTCCAATACAACTAGACGGTTTTCAAAATAATCTAAAGTTCCTCAAAAAAATTCTGGTTCTGCCTCAACAAATGCCTGGTTCTGCCTCAACAAATTCTATTTCAATCCTCTTTGTTTTTGCAAACAAACTTATCTAAGACTGAAAGTTCTTAAAAAGTGCATCCGCTGTGAAACAGATTAAAACTCAAAATACGTAAGAGCTCAAGTTCATCGAAGCTCAAGGCCCCTCTTTTTTTCCAAGCCTATCAATGATTTCAAATATCCCAGATAATGAAATCAGTATTTGTTATCAGTTATCACTCTTCCTCCCTACGTCCCGATTATATCATCAATAACTGAAGAAAACTGTTCGAAAATGTGGAAAGTCACTCTGAAATCAATATAAGATTGCATAAATCCCGATCGATAACACAGGAACTAAATAAATCTAAACAAATCTCGCCCCTTCCCTAAGAGCCGTTTAAAAAAAGCCGATAAACTCTCTAAAGGAATGAGATAATTCAAGCACTTGAGGCAAAACAAAAAATAAGGCCGAAAAGATGAAAAAAAAAATGAGCCGATGAGGAAGTGCTCCTTTCTACCACGTGTAAAATCTGCTCCCACCCTGGCGAAAAAAACATCAAGACCACCTGGTGATTGGTCGTCGAGTGGAGGCTCGTCGTCGCAGAATAGCCGAGAGAGGAAAACAAGTTGAAAAAAAAAGCCTAAAAAAAGTGGTGAGTTATATCTCACGGTATCGGAGCCAGACGTATGAGTTAAATTGAAACCGGCCAGTGCACTCGTGGATTTGTGCGTGAGAGTATCTCTCAATTAAAATAAATCATCGATCCAGTGAAATAGCAATGGAAAAATTAATTTTCCAACTTCAGTGATAAAATACTCGTGCTCCGAATGTCTGAAAATAACCGCATGTTTCGGTAACACGTGGTATCAATTGAAACGTATGAAATAATAATACGTGGAGTCCACTATTGAAAACGTGGGATTTTACGGTAAATCTTTTAATAATCTGTGATAAACATAACCTTAAAGATTCGATGATGTTATCGGGTTTTTTACGACGTAATAGGATTTGGTGTGATTGATCGATTTATTTGAAGATTATCATTGGTCATTTTGATTGATCATTTAATTGTTGGTGGGTTCTTAGTGATCGAATTACGGATTTCGGAGTTGAATGAAACAAACACGTTGCGTCATCTCGGTTATTATTGGAGTTGCGAGGAAATTGTTGGAGAGGCTTTTTTTTATTTATCTTTTTTATTTACTTTTTAATGGGGCGGGATTTGGTATTTATGAGAGGTCAATGGAAAGATGTGGGTAATGAGAGAATTGGCGGTGGTCGGGGGTTTTATCAATTGATTTGACGGCTGTGCGATTGTGATTTTATTAACCAGTACTCACTGTGGCCTTGTCGCTAATTTTATTCGTGATTCGTTTAAGGGTCATCTTGCGGCTTTTTAATTTATTTATTTCTGAGGGTTTTTGGTGATTGTGATAATTGGATGGTTTTTAATGAATTTTTAAGCTCATGTTTTTCGGTGAATACGGAATTATCTGCGTTATGGACAATCGATGGAATATCGGGAGAATGTGATTAAAAAACAAATTGGAAAATTAATTTGAATTTCAGATTCTTTCGACTGTCTGCAATCGGGCGAGTATTTTAATTTCGGCGTTTTAATAGACACGTTGTGATGTAATCAAAAATAGATAAAAGTGGAAATGGGAGTCGACGATTTCCAAGAGACATTAACTTATGTTGATTATAAAAATGATCTTCAATTATCAAAGTTGGTAATCAATTCCATTGAATATCAAAAAAAAAATTCCAGGAACAGAATTACTACTCATCAAAACTTGAAACCACTCAAACAAAAAAATCTAATTGAAATTCCCTGCGCAATATTTGAATTGGTAGAACGAATTCATAATGCTAATAACACGGAAAAGATGAAAAATTACAAAGTAAAACTAGTAACTAAGAGGAGTAAAATCGTCAGGTTTTTACCTTTCAAAAAAGCACTGCATAATACATCGAGAGAGATTGACGATTTTTCAATGGGATTTTTTAGTCGCTGAATAGCAGAGTCTCTTAACGAAAAGAAATGTTAACGAGGTAGCCTTGAGGTGAAATGTCCCGAAGCCTGCCAGATAGAGTGGCAGGGGTGTATTATGCCCATGGCCTTTTCTGCTCGTCACATCCAATTGCAGCTCTTTCACTAGCAATTACAGTCGTTCTCCTATGCTGGTGAGTCCATATCTGCCACAATGGTACTCTAAAAAAAAACATATTCTTAATTTTTGAGGAAAGAGAGACTGTATGCGATTCAAGGGGATCATGAATATCTGATAAATTTATGCATTGGTTTGTCCCTCAGTTATCCACTAGTGAATCTGCCTATGCCAGGCAATGCACCAAGAACAGTGATAAATCAGACAATTGGTATTTCCAATGGAACCGAGAGTTCATCACTGTACGTCCAGCAAGTTGTTTTGAGGACGGGAGTTATCCCATGGAGCAGCGATCTCGCATTATCCGATGCCTTTCGAGGCCCTCTCTACGAGGTCTTCAATCTCCTGGAGATTATCCAGAATTATCAGGACCCAGAAACGTAAATATCACATAGCAATAGTTGAAATATTATCCGCGCATGATTAATTATCTTTTTATTTGCCATTTAAAGATTGAAAACACTTGGCCAAGTGTGTTTGCACATCGAGGCTGTGAAAAAACGAAGTGCAAATTCAAAGAAACCCGAGATACTTCCTGAATACAACTGTTTAATCCTGTCGCCAGCTAATTTCTGGCAACAGAGCATCGAGTTATTCAACCAGGATAATGACGTTATTGGAACGATATTCTCCTACCAGAATCTACAGAAGGGCAAAATAAGCCTTGCTGAAATGCTCTTTGGTATGAATCTCAAAGAAACTGGTGTTAAACGGTATCCAGTACGTGTCAGACAGAGAGTACTTCAATATGCAGTTACTATATTCCTGAAAGAGTACGATCCTAGGTAAATACGCGTATGACGTCTTGAATAAATATTTGTGGATTAAAGAGCAAATCAACGGTGAGATAATGTAAAATTATAATTTCCAAGGTCCACGATTGCAAAATAATAGGGAATTCGGATTTTAACTCAAATAATTGTCTTTCTCTTTAGATTCATCGAGGGTTTAAAAACAAGATTGACAGCCTACTACTCCCTTCATCAGTCTCCAAAAGCTGAGTTACGCCCTCAAACAGACGAAACCCTTCACATTTTCTATCCGGGTGAATTTAACTACAATGACTTCTTTCCTCTTATGATGACGTTCTTTGCTCTTTTCATTTACGTTTATTTCTCGGTGAGAAAAATGGAATTGATAAAATCTAAAATTGGTGTGGCCTTCAGTGCGACAGTAACCGTGATATCCTCACTGTCAATGACAGTAGGAGTCTGTTTCTTCTTCGGTTTGACACTCAGTCTCAGTGGCAAAGAGATATTTCCATATATGGTGGTGATAGTAGGTCTGGAGAATGTTTTGGTCCTGACGAAGAGTGTCGTGAGCACTCCAACACACCTAGATGTTAAAATAAGAGTGGCTCAGGGTCTCTCGAAGGAAGGCTGGTCCATAACGAAAAATCTACTGACAGAAGTGACAATTTTAACAATTGGACTCTTCACTTTCGTCCCGGCAATCCAGGAGTTCTGTATTTTCGCCATTGTCGGGCTTCTCAATGACTTCTTCCTGCAAATGGTCTTCTTCTCGACGATTCTTGCCATGGATATTCGAAGAATGGAGCTGTCAAGTGACAACTCACGGTTCCAATTCACTCATATTCCTGCCACGAGGAAACAGCAGTTCACTACTATAGTCCCTAATAAAAAGCCCAATTTCTTCAGGTCCAAGTCACATCCCAGGCTCAATGGAATGACAGGACCCACAAATATCATTGCACCAACTACCCAGAACACTCAGACGCTCGTGAAAATACCCAAGAGGCTGAGGCTTGTTCACTTCTGGGCGAGAACTAGAATCTTCCAGCGGGCTTTCATGGTTTGGATGGTCGTGTGGATCTCCATGATCATTTACAATTCTGGAATCATTGAGCATTTGATTCATCTCAGTGACACCCTTAAAGCTGACAGTGACATCGAGAGCTACACGATGGAGAGGCCACACACGCTTAAAAGTTACGTCGAATTCAAGAAACTGAAGCCAATGATCGTCACCTCCACGAGTCCTCCTAGTATTGTTAATGAAGTGAGTTTTACTGTTTTTTTTTGAATGATAATATATACTAACTGCTAGATAATCTAGCTATATGGAAAGAAATTGTGTAAGAAATTGCTGTCTCTAAGGCAGCAAGACATTTCTTAACTTTTTGCAATAATGATGAGTCATGATGTTTGTCGTCATCACTATAATGACGACAAGAAGAAATATCTAAGTGAAGCCGTAACATTCTTGTTGAAAAAACATTCATGAGTTTTAAAACCTAATCTCGAAATATTCGAATCATTCACTTTCTTCAATGGTTTGATTTTTAAATCCACTATTTTTCACTCCCATATTTACCTCATTTTTCTGTATCTAATTATTTTAATGAATTCATTTTTTATAGCTTCCCAATCCAAACAACATAACAGAGGATTTAAAGAAACTCCGTCCACTAGATTTTCCCCCGTGGAATCGTCTCTCTCTTTATCACTGGTCCTCGATCCTCACGATGTACAACATCTCCACAGCAGGTGAACAAATAACAGTCCTCCCAGCGATAAAAATATCCCACGCGGTAAATCCTCAATTATCACGACGAATCAGCAATCCAAATGACGTACAGCATTTTCAATGGCAGAGCTTGGCAACGGCTGCCCTTGATCCCCTGGACTTTTCAGGTATGTCTGACGTAGAACCATGATTTATTCAAAGACTTCAAAGACACTGACATCAATGACTGCATCAATTATTGGATAGATTAGTAATTTGAAGGGAAATATGGCAGAATGAAGCAACTCCTCGAATTCATCTGACTTATTTAACTCTTTCCAGATATCGAAGTTCCCTCTAGATCAGAAAGTCGTGGATTCAATACAGACGCTCCCTTCGTTCCTTCGAGTCCCATGGAGATTTTCCTGGCAGCTCTACTCTGTCTAATCAGCGTTATAGTAGTTGCCTACACAATGGTAGTTCTCTATCGGTGTATCTGTACTCGTAATTACGCAGAGTGGCGAGCAAGCTGGCACCAGCAGGATAAAACCCAGGACTCATCCACCCAACTGGTCCTGGAGGCCCTTCCACTAGTGCTGGAGGGTCACTCCCAGGAGGTAGAGTGCATCGCCACAGATGGTGACACAATAGCCAGTACATGTCTAGCTGGTCACATAAAAATATGGGACGTCACCACTGGGGATATGCTGGCACACATTGATAGAAAGAAATTTCTCAATTCCAGCCAGAGGGACCTCAGTAATCCCACCCCTGATGATGAGTTGATGTCAGATTATGAGAGTGGATCACCTCCATCTCGAGGTGAAATAGAGGGCAACTCCTTTGGGCTCTACTCCTCGCCTGGGGGACGACAAAAGTACTCTCCAGGTGGGAACTTTCCCAAAAACTCTCAAGGAAGAAAGAGACACTCCATGAACTCTTTAGATTACGATTACCAGATCGAGTGCTCGAGTGACAAAAGGAAAATGTCGAGAAATCTCCACTCTTTCGAGTTTCCTGACCTGAGACCCTCAATTAACACCAAATTCTCAACGATGAGGTTCCAACCGAAACAGGAGTGTTATGAGAATGGTTTTGACTTCGGTAATGACTACAAGCAGTTGTTCGATCAGTTCAGAAGATCTAACGATGACGTTCACAAGTGCGTGGGGAGTGAAGTGATTAATACCTGTGGAGGGCTTGGTAAATTTGAATTAAATGACAGTGCAACGTCTCTCAGCACTGATAGAACAGTGCAGACTGTGCAGAACGTTGCACCGATCTGGTGCATCGATTATCAAGAGAATATTCTAGTGGTGGGGTGTGCCAATGGAGTTCTGGAGTTTTGGGAGGGAAGCACAGGGCGATTCAAGTGTTTCTTCGATGATGGAAGTCGATTGGGGATATCGTCAGTGAAACTCGTGGGTTGTAGGGTTGTTGCGGCTAAGCTCAATGGGTCCGTGGACTTTTTGGAGCTCGAGAGATACAGCGAGGGACATCAAATTGATTGGGGATTTACTTCTGGGAGGAGAACACACGTGAGAACTGGAAGTGCTGGCTCCCCCATGGACATTGGGGGATTTCCTCAAGTCGAGGAGGATCTCAGGTGCCTCAAAAAGGGCTCTCACAGGGCTCATCAGCAGGCTATCACTGTTCTTGATAGCGAGGGAGGAAGAGTGCTCACTGGAAGCCAGGATCACACCCTCAAAGTGTTTAGGTAATTGAAATCATTCCGTTTTTCATTCTAGACATTGTAGAATGCATTACCCTTCTATTTTTTACAGCTTGTACTTTTCCTGTTAATCAGTCGTGTAAAACAATAGAAAAAAAGATGATAACCTTTATATTGTCTCATTTGTTTTGTTTTTTTTTTCTGCACGACCATTGCAGACTAGAAGACCAACAACCACTTTATACTCTTCATGGACACTGCGGTCCCATTTCTTGTCTCTTCATCGACCGCATGAGTCCCATGACATCTGGTAGTGGTTCCCAGGATGGACTTCTCTGTGTCTGGGATTTATTAACAGGTGAAATGAATTAACCTAATATTCGCAGTGCCCTCTAGTCAACTGTACTTTTAGTTTCTCAGAGTGAATTGAAGGAATTAAAATGAATCTTGGAAATTTTCCTTGATTTTCAGGTACGTGTATGTATAGCATACACGCACACGATGGTGCTGTGGCGGCAATAACTTGTTCAGCCTCGTACGTGATAAGCATTGGTACAGATGAACGTCTCTGCGTTTGGGAGAGATTTCAGGGTCATTTACTTCATGCCCTACCGGCTCACAGGGCAGCCTATAGTCTTCAATTAGTCATGCTGACACATCAATTACTCATAACTAGCAATCAGGGTTCTCTGGTCGTTTGGGACGTTCGAACGGGTGAACCCGTGAGAGAAGTACGATTAGATCATAAAGACAGTTGTGTTTACGTTAAACAAATGATTGCACTTAGGGACAGCATTGTTTGCGATTTTGGACGACAGTTGCGAATAGTCAGATTTCCCTTAGTCTCTGATAAGTTGGACTGAACAATTTTTATCATATATTTTATTAAAAACAATATAAGGAACTACTGTAAATAGAGAATTTCCTTCGTTTAATTAGTTGCTTTGACCTTCTGCCTATCTCAAATCGTACGCTTCTTCGATTTCTCCTATTCAATAATTAATGTTGTTACTGGTTATCATTGAGAGTATGGTCATGAATATTATTGGTGAAATTTAGATAATTTTAGGCGACCGGCTGTGCAACATAATGATGATAGTTTTATCAGTACTAAAGCCAGATATGAATCATCCATTTTATTTCGTAAATTGAGAAAGACAGAGTTTTTTTTTCTAATTTGTCGGGTGGTTATTGATGAAAATATATTTATCTATTGAATATTGCCAATTTAGAGTAAAGTCTTGGAAAAATTGTGAGATATTGGATGTTTTTAAATGTATATCGAGTGAATGGGGATTGTGAGAAACAGAATCAAATTTTTTGGGAATAATTCATAATTTTATAGCGATAAGTTCATATTGAATTTTTAGAAATCGATGAAAATACGCCTGGCATCACTTAATTTATAATTTCGCATTTTTAATGTTTGAGAGTGCCTTTATACGATCCGTCACCTTGTTTTCGTTACTTCATCACTTGAATTCAGTAGTAATATACTTCACGAACAATTGCGTCAGACAATGCGTCTGGTTTATTTTTCATACTTGATAATACATATAAATACGAAAAAGACGAACCCGATTGAAGATTTTATATGAATTTAAACAGCCCGAAATAATATTTTGATAAGCATTAATTTAAGAATATTGCGGGGTTCTATAATTAGTCTTAACTCGATTATTCAGATTGAAAATAAAGTGTACCCGGCATCATCAATAAAAATATATTTTTAAAGGGTGTGGTAGCTGATAATCGGTGAGAGTAAAAAATAGATTATCTGAAAATCCTCGAGATCGCGGTGACAGATACAACAAAAAAATCGTGCTGATTTTAGACTGAATATAGATTCAAAGCCGAAGAAATGATGGGAAAAGAAACAAATAGATAATTGTCATCGATCACACTGTGTCTTTGATACGAGAACATTTTTTTACTGAGAAATCAATGTATGTCGTAGAATTAATATTTTCATCGACCAAAGTGAATGTTAAACGATCGTACTTGCGAAATTATTTAATTATTAATATTTTTAGGTTTTAATATTATTCAATTTGTTTGTGACAGCAACTAGAGCCGACCCGCGTGAATTTTTGTATTTATTAATTTAATAATAAATTTAGATTATTGACCATTAAGTTTGTGGTGATTTATTTTAATTCCATTAAAAGCTTCTTTTAAAAATTGTCCTTAAAAAATGTAGTTATCAATTCCCTGAAGATCCTTGGAGTCGCCTGAAGGAATAAATGAATTCTTAAGAATCCTCGATAAATCCTCGAAAAATTAATGAATTCAGAGACATTGCACTTTCCTAAACAGCATGGAAAATGTGATGGAATAGATTGTTGGCAATTGGATGAAGGTAAATGCCTTAATCTTAATCCAGAATCGGTGTCAATCGGTTTTGTAGATGTAGCAGTAATCTTCAGTACTTTGCGATTAATGAGAATGACGATAAGTGGAATTGTACAGATGATTTATATCCCATACTTAGAACATTGAGACCTCTAATCAAACTAGGAATTATGAACTTTGTGACAACTCGATTGTTGGTCCACAATAAATCCACCAATCAATTCCAATTTACGAAAAAATATTTAAAAAATTTACCGATTTATTGCGAAATAATCCTACGGTTTTATTTTCCACTAAAAGCGATGTGTTTTTCTCACTATTAATCATCTTACCTCCGCGTCTCACGTCATTCTGTGATCCTCAGAAAGAAAATCCGAACAGATGCGAAGATTACCCGTGCATTTACATTACGTTCACAAATATCAATACCCGGTTTAATTAGAAAGTAAACTAGAAGAACGGTGAATCTTTACCGAACTACCAGATCAAAATCTGCCTAATTTTATCACAACGCGGTGATTTTTTTATCAAAAAATGATCTAGAGGGAATTTTACAGGAAAATCTTTTATGATTTTAAGGATGTTCCACACCCTTTCCGCCAAAATTCACGTTTTTTATTTTTCTGACAAACTTACGATAGGATTAACGGAAAAAACAAAGTTTTTTCAATTTGTCATTCTTTATTGACCGACGAAGTTTCAAGGTGGTGCAAACCTTTCTCCCGCGTTTCTTCTAAACTTTCAACAACAATCGCAAAGCTGTAGAGAAGACTGAAGAAAATGATCCCACCACCACGAAACTTCGTGAGCCATTGAATAATTAAAAAATGCAGAATCGATATATTTTTTCACGTCAAACTCATCGATAATTTGTCAGAGATATTCATAAAAACCTGAACTTTGAATAAAATGTCATTGAACATCCTTCAAATGATTAAAGTATTTAATTTCAGTGACCCCGCGAACATCACGTCTGCAAATAAATTTCCTTAGAGTCTTTCGACAATACGACCCTCTTCCCCACAGTTTCTAATCTCTTATCAGATACACAGATAAATCATCCACAAATTAAATTCACTTTCCAAAACGAGCCTAGTACGAGGAAAAATTCGCAAAGTGGAACAGAAGAACATTTTTAGGATTAGTGAATTGAGATAAAGTTGAGGTGTAGGAGGGAGTTGATCTGCAGGAGGGAGTGACTGAAAGTACAAATGCTCGTGGCTTTGCTACTGGCTAACGACAATAGTAATCAGCAAGTGACTGCTCAGCTCAACGGGGAAGGTGCACGCAATACTTTTGAATATCAATCCGTAGTTCAACAATTAAGTTCAAAACAATTTTTTCAGTGAAAATTTTTACAATGTTTCGGTAGTGAATTGGTCGATCCCTTTAAAAATAAAAAACAACGAGTTTATTGCGCCAGAAGTGATCAGGGCAGATAGTGCATTATGACAGAAACTGGGGAAATTGAAACAAGGTAAAAAAAAAATTCAAATAAAATAACGTTGAAGGGATTGGCGCAAATATTTACCTCGACGAAGAGGTTCGTTCCCCCAGGAGTCGCGAAATTTTTGAATGAATCCATCAGGATTGGACAACTGTTCTCTGATTTTTCGCAAAATTTAAAAAATTAAAAAAATGATTCCACTTCGGAATCATTTTATCTCAAGAAAAACAGAATGAAGAGGTTTACGAGGCATCAGTTGGAATGATGATCAATCAACGTCAGAGAATTTCAGACATCGACTGAAATAATAAAAGAAAGAATAATATTTTTTCGATAGAAATTTTTTTATCTTTCATTTTATGATCAATGGGATGTTTGGATTTGTTTCGTTGGATAAAAAAGAAACGGATGAGTTTTATTTTGGAAAGATGAATAAAGGAGAATCGGAATGAGCAAGTCCGAGTGAAAGTGACCTGTCGTCGATTGGCATTTAACGTGTGTATGTTAGGTAACTGACGACCAAATTGTACCTGACTACACTACAGAAAAATGACGATTGTTTACGTCCAGCTCGACAATTGGGAGTCAATCGTCAATCATGTCAATACACCGGTGATCAGATTAATATTCAATACTATCGGTCTTTTTGAAATTCACTACGCAATGTAGAAATACATTCGGTGATTTGCTCAGTATCAATTATTTCCTCTTTTAAATGAGGATTTCAATGGACAGAGATAATAATATAAGCAATTACGTAAACGTCATTTTCCGCTAGCGCGAAATTACTGATTTCAGTTTGCTATTCGAATTTTTGAATTTGGAAATTCAGCGATTCTTATTTCCGTTAATTTACGCGGCGTAGAAGTGGTAATGTCAGCGGGGAAAATTTCAAGATTCTATTAACCATTTGTTAACCATTTTATTAGCCCACTAGACATCCGGCGCTCGCCCATTTCTACCTGACATTAAAATGAGTAAAATTTCAACAACTAGACAATTTAACGTTTTAGCGTTTCAAAACGTTTCCGTATAGTATTTAAAAGAAAATAGTTCACGTTGCAATAACGTCAAATTGAAGACTAAACTGGGAATTTATTCATGTAATTATACACTCCAGTGAATTAATTGCAAGTCTCATGATGATTAAATATTTCTGCAATGATTCCTATCTTCCTCAATTCTCCATTTACTACTCTCAATTTTACACTGGCTTCAGCATTTTTTTGCTGACATTCCGAGGCTCATCTTCGGTTCGCAAATTTCTTGAAGTAAATTCTATTGCTACAAATAAAGATATGCAAATATTTGCCTCTTAATCCTCTGTATTTTCATGTAGTGCGCAATTTTTCTTAGCGAAGGTAAAATTCTCATGTTCTTGTTTAACATTAATTATTGGTATCTTTTGACGCATTGTAATCATCTCATTCCATCCATTGTGTTTTTTTATTATTCAATTTGCTCGACATGTCGATGGTGGACAATAAGGAAAGAATGGGGAGTTGTCGCGATAAATTTATTTCAATCAAGAGACTGACTGATAGCGAGATGGATACCATTTTTGTCACCTCGTGATCTCATCACTATCTGCAGATTTTATCGAATTTATCGCCAGACTTGAGGGAATAGTCAATGAACGATTGTCGAATGGAATTCATCTTATCGAAGGATGTAGCTGCGATTTTATGATTGTGAACATTGTGGTACATTGTGCTATTCCATAGGAATTACAAAAACTTGTTCTCTAGTGATTCAAATCATTCGAATCAACTCAATAAATCAATCGAGGTGGAAAGAATAATTAGAGAAAATATAATGATTCTTCTGCATGTTATCAGTTGTCAGTGTAGGACAATTCCTAATTGATGAAATTGCCGAACTTTTATAGAACTTGTTCATGAATACTCATTCTCGTGCTCAGGTGTTACATATACTTGTCGTAATTTGAGCGACCGGTTTACGCATCGGTTACGACACAATTCTCACAAGATATTCCTCCACCATCCGATTGGTGTAGCTCTCACACCAGCATGAGACCCTCTTCACGTTACATCTGCTAATTGCACGGAAATATCTGTACATGTGCAGCATTATATTTTTCCATCATTCTCAGACACATATTGAGGTGAAAGAAAACTCAAGTCGATGTTGCGAAACTAAAATTCATTTTTTTTTCGCCATCGGCTCAGGAGGCTGATTTGTCACTCATAATGAGGGAAGAGATTGATTTTCTCAACAATCGAATTTTTTTATCAACCACTGGTTGATTGTGAGTATATTCACATTATAGATCGAGGACTTCTGGGAAAAGAAAGTGACTTTTTTTCCAAATCGAATTTTTCTGTCAATCAGCCGTTATTTCCGCTTATTTCTGTCGTTTATTTCTCAATATCCGAGGCAAACCCCAAGGGAAAGTGATTGAATGTCAGTACGTTACCGAACGCAACAACCTAATAACCGGAAGCTTTAAAATACAATCGATTTCAGGACAAACGCGAAAAAACCCATTCTACTGCGAGCACTACACCATCATTAACTGTGCAAGTGTTAGCGAAGGTCCACATTTCCTTCACTCACTACTGGATAAAATCTAGGTGAAGGTAGACTCAGCGAAGAGGAAAATACGAAATCTTGGAACCGCGTTAATCATCAAATAATCAATTCTAACAGCCAATTATCATTTACCAATCATAAAAAAGAAGCACAGAGAAACCGAAATAATAAATGACAAATGCCTTCCATGAAATCTAGATTTAGATTCCAACGCAATTTTAGCCAGGATTGAAGTAATCTAGTCATATCCGCCATAGATTACTAAACACTAAAACAACCGCAGGATTTTTTAATGGAAAAATTAATAATTCTCAGTAGGGAGAAGCTACCGGCCCGAGATCACAACGGAAATGAAGAGAAGAAAGAATGTTCAAAGTGGAGACAAGCAGCTCCACAGGTGTGTGCTGTTATGGCAAAGAATCTTCTGCTGCTGACGTTTGGATCAACTCTAGGTTTTCCAACAATTCTTCTACCTGCATTACAGAAGGACGATCCTGATATTCCAGTAACAAAGGACGATATCACATGGATCAGTGAGTTAATATATGAATAAAATTAAAATCATACTACATTTAATAATATTATCGCATATTAAATGTTCCTTCCTGTCGCCGACCTTGACATTTGATAGTCTTTCTCTTGATGATCATTCTTCAATCTTGTTCTCGTCTTAGTCCGCGGACATGCCACATTTCTATTCCCTTTCTCCACATTTATCTAATAAAAGCTTTATTTATTATTGGACTGGCCCAAGCCTTTAAAATATACTTCAATTTCGAAGTTGTTTAATAATAATGATCTTCTCTTTGTAACAGGCAGTATAAATTTATTTGCGGTACCACTGGGGTGCCTGGTGAGTGGTCCACTCTCGCAATATCTCGGACGAAGAAAAACGATGCTCATATCAAATATACCATTCATAGCATCATGGGTGATCCTTCATTACGCAACAAACAGTGCAATGATGTTTATTGCACTGTCATTGACAGGTCTCACTGGTGGATTGACAGAGGCACCAGTTTTGACGTACGTCGCCGAGGTGACGCAGCCACATCTCCGTGGCATGCTGGCAGCCACTTCAACTATGTCAGTAATTCTGGGTATCTTCACACAACTGTTGACAGGGAGTTTGACAGATTGGAGGACAGCCTGTCTCATCAACCTCACGTATCCTATTCTCTGTTTTGTTACTCTTGCTATTGTACCTGAGAGTCCTTACTGGCTGGCGGGTAAAAAGAAGATAGGAGAGGCTGAAAAGTCCCTCCGGTGGCTACGAGGGTGGGTTCCACCATCAAATGTCCGGGAGGAACTACAGCTGGTCATCAGGGCTACTGAACACGGTCCAAACGACGGGGATGAAAAAAATAACAGCCAGTGGAATCTATCTCCATTTCTCAGGAGAACTTTCGCTGTTCCTCTGATGCTCGTCAGTCTCGTATTTTTTCTGGCAGCCTTCGGTGGATCAGCAACTCTCCAGACATTTGCCGTTTCAATTTTCGAAAAAGTGGAAGTACCCATGAATAAATACACAGCCACAGTGATTCTGGGGGTTGCTGAGCTCCTTGGAACCGCTACTTGCGTTGCCTCTATCCACTTTGTGGGGAAAAGGAGACTCAATTGGGCGTCCATTAGTGGAACTGGCCTCTGCTTCTTCGGAAGTGCCATTTATATTTATTTGTTGGAGCTCAAGGCGATTGAGAGGGCCGTCTACTCCTGGATTCCAACTACTTTTCTTATTGGATCTGCCTTTATTTCGCATATGGGAATTAGACAACTCGCTTGGATCCTCGCGGGTGAAGTCTTCCCAGCGAAGGTGATAATCAGCATATTTTTTTTAATACGTTTAAACAAAATAATAGATGATAGAATTCGACGCCAATGTCTCATAAGGTTGAAGAAATAATTGTTAGTGCATTTTTTATTACTTTCAGATAAGAAGTTCCGCGACTGGAATAGCAGCAGCAATAAGTTACATATTTATGTCAGTCATAAATAAAATATTTCTGTATATGGTTGATGCAATGGGTCTCTCAGGGACGTTTCTTTTCTACGCTGGAATGAATTTGGTCGGTGGTGTCACACTTTATTTGACATTACCGGAGACCGAAGGGAGGACTCTCAAAGAAATTGAGGAGCATTTTGCTGGGATTCAAAGTCTCAAACACAAGCCGAAAAAGGATGGACTTGGCAATAAAGAAAAATGGGCGACTGCCAATCCTGCGATGGTTCTCGATGATGTTGAGAGCAAACTCTGAGTGCTTATCTAAATACTCTGGCTTTCTGTTTTTGTTTTATACTCAAGGTTCTTCTCATTCTCATTAGATTTAATTTCCTCTCTTCATTAGGATGGAATATTGCAGCTGTAGTTTAGGGCATTTGAATGGAAGATAGATTGCCTTGTCTTTCTGTTTCATTTCCGAATTTTGTAAATATGAAATTGTGGGTATTACAGAGTAAGACCTACGGGAACGTTTGATAATGTTTCCGAAATGTATAAAGAATCTAATTATACGTTTCATCAAATAAAGATATTTTTTATTATGACAATTTACCATTTAGATTTTCAGAGAATCCTCAACACCTCTTGTTTTTCTTGTTGGATTTTATATTAAAATTCCAAGCCTGTAATTTCTTGATGGGTGTGAAGAAACTCGTGACAACTTGAAAGAATCTATCGTGACGTAATAGCAATAGAACTCGGAAAATCTTCTTTGGGACAACCGGCATTGTCATATCTTTTCCTATTGTCCTTGACAATTTTTTGTGTATTTTCTGACCTTTCGTTCTCATACTGAACCTCCTCTTTGGTTTTATAGCACTAGATAAATCAAGTACAATCATTTGATGCGCTATTCGCAATATTCTCTCTCATTTTAAATCCCAGAAAACCCAATAGAGACAATTATCGAAATAATTTTCAAACTCACCGGATTCGCTGTGTATGGTCTTTCTTCACAGCATCTTCAAGATTTAGCCACTGAAAATTCTCCTGAGAAATTTCCCTCTCCTTCTCCAAAATTTCCCTCTGAATCATTTGGTTTCCTCCATGCTCCATATTTGTCAGATTAAATAATGATAACGTGAAAACCGATTAAAATTTTAACGGAAATATCGACGGGTAGACTTTGGCGTACAATGAAAATTTCGGAATGTCAATTATTTTGGGAATTAAGAACAAAGGACTGCACTCGCGCACATACAATACCACGAGCCGAAGACGAGTTTTACGATTCCACCAGTCAAAAAATCCATAACGCACGTATTTCGTGTACTATTTTACGTATGCCATCGGGCTCTCGCTTTACTCAGTAGAATCGCGTGATTCCGGACACCTATGACAAAATGTTTTGGGCAAAAGAGTTTTTTTTTCGCAGTGATTATTTTGAGAAGGACGAAAGCGTTCACAAAGATGGTTGCACTTGATTTTTAGCGGGAATTTCAAGTGCTGCCATCTAAAAAACGATGATCCATCATTTGACGGCTGTCGCTGTTGGCGCTGTGGGCGCTCTGGCCCTTTCATCCATACACGTGAAGCTGCCGTGTTGCTGGGATCCTCGTTTTGGCGCACAATTAGGTAAAGCACAGTAATTAAACCCTAATTAATAAGCCAACCCGAGCATAATTTCTCCCCAAGTCAATCCTCCAACGTCATTAAACCAAGGATCGCCCAAAAAATCCGTTGTTAACGATTAAAACTCGTAATTACTCAGCTGGAGGTTGACCGCACGTTCCTCGTGAGCAGACGGCGTGCATTAAAATTATTCCTTTCAGTTTTTTCTCATGCGTTTGCACGTCTATTTCCGAGTCATCCCCAGAAATCTCAATGGATGATTCAGCCTCTCTGAAAGTGCTCCGTTATGTAATAGTCCTTTGGTGTACTGTAGGTCCTTGGACTAATGATTTATTTTACACTTGGTTTTCAGAGTTGAAGCATAATGCCGTCCGACGCCAAGAAGAAGCAGCAGCAGAAGAAGAAGGAGGCTGCAAAGGCCAGGCAGACAGGAAAAAAACCAACGACTCAGGCTAAACCTGAGGATGGAAAGGAGACGTCCTGCACTCCACCTGGAGAGGTGGAGAATGGTACCAGCAATGGAGTAATCTCTGCTGAAGAGGCTCTCTGCATGAAACTTGAAGCAGATGCTCGTCTGAATGCTGAAGCTCGTTCGTGCACTGGAACTCTGGCATCTCATCCCCGCAGTCGAGACATCAAGATTTCGACGTTCTCCATAACTTTCCACGGTTGTGAGCTCCTTCAGGACACGATGCTTGAGTTGAATTGTGGGAGACGTTATGGTCTGCTGGGTCTCAATGGCTCTGGCAAATCGACTCTTCTCTCAGTGGTAGGTAATCGAGAGGTGCCAATACCCGATCAGATTGATATATTTCATCTATCACGAGAGATGCCAGCCAGCAATAAAACAGCTCTTGAGTGCGTGATGGAGGTCGACGAGGAAAGAGTACGTCTTGAGAAATTGGCTGAGGAGCTCGTAGATTGTCCGGAGGAAGACGCCCAGGAACAGCTGATGGATGTTTATGAGAGACTCGATGACATGTCTGCTGATACTGCTGAGGCACGTGCTGCACACATCCTTCATGGTCTCGGTTTCACACCCAAGATGCAGAAAACTCCCACCAAAGACTTCTCCGGTGGCTGGAGAATGCGAATTGCTCTGGCACGTGCACTCTATGTCAAGCCACATTTACTTTTGCTCGATGAACCCACAAATCATCTCGATCTCGATGCCTGTGTGTGGCTTGAGGAGGAGCTCAAGACGTACAAACGAATTCTCGTGATTATATCCCATTCACAGGATTTCCTTAATGGCATATGCACCAATATTATTCACTTGAATAAAAAGCAGTTGAAATACTATACTGGAAATTACGAGGCTTTCTGCAAAACGAGGATGGAGCTCCTGGAGAATCAGGCGAAGCAATACAATTGGGAGCAGGATCAGATAGCCCATATGAAGAATTATATTGCAAGGTTTGGGCATGGATCTGCCAAGCTCGCCAGACAGGCCCAGTCCAAGGAGAAGACTCTGGCCAAAATGGTGGCACAGGGATTGACTGAGAAAGTCACTAATGACAAGGTGCTCAATTTTTATTTTCCAAGCTGTGGAGGTATACCACCACCTGTCATCATGGTACAGAATGTCAGTTTTCGATACAATGACGATGCCCCTTGGATTTATAAGAATCTCGAGTTTGGCATTGATTTGGATACGAGGCTGGCCCTCGTCGGCCCCAATGGAGCTGGCAAGAGTACATTGTTGAAACTGCTTTATGGAGATCTCGTTCCAAGCAGTGGAATGATTCGCAAAAACTCTCACCTCCGAATAGCGAGATACCACCAACATCTTCATGAATTACTTGACCTAGATATGTCCCCACTCGATTACATGATGAAGGCTTTTCCTGATGTCAAAGAGAGGGAGGAGATGAGGAAAATCATTGGACGTTATGGACTTACTGGTCGCCAGCAGGTGTGTCCAATCAGACAGTTGTCTGATGGCCAACGTTGCCGAGTCGTATTTGCTTGGCTAGCCTGGCAGGTACCGCATCTACTTCTCATGGACGAACCCACCAATCACTTGGACATGGAAACAATCGATGCTCTTGCTGATGCTATCAATGATTTCGACGGTGGAATGGTCCTTGTTTCTCACGATTTTAGACTTATCAATCAAGTGAGTCATTTGACATCTTTTTTGCACTCTCAAAAAATAAGTAAAAAGTAATAATCCATAGGTTTCAATCAAATATCGAATTTATACAAACATTGATTTTTATTTTTTAATAAAGTCGATGTAAGAAGAATTCGTAGATGAAAGGGATTCACCTTTGCCGCGTGTGTTATCAATGTGATACCCACGCCTTCTCCAAGTGAATACATTATCCAAATAATTTAAATGTCATGAAGTAAATTGAAGAGTCAATTTTACCATTCGTGCAGTTTTGTCTACAACGCTCTACGCTCTTCATGAATTTCTATGATATTTAATTGTTTATTTTTTAATCATCAGGTTGCCGAGGAGATTTGGGTATGCGAGAACGGAACAGTGACAAAATGGCAAGGTGGAATATTGAACTACAAGGAACACCTCAAGTCCAAAGTTCTGAAGGACAATCAGAAGAGAGAGAAGGAGTTCATGAACCGAGGAAAATAATAATCCCTATTTTTTAACTGACCAGAATAAATCCCGGAAAATGAAGGATAATTATACTTGATTCCATTGCCGCCACATCCCGCGTATGAATCGAAATTCATTCATCGTCTGATCCAGCGCTGCTGTGTAGCGTTTAAACTGATGAGTTCAGCCTACCTAGCTAATTTATTTAAATAAAATGGAAGATATGAATTCATCGTCAATGAAACCACGTGCAAATCATTGTCATCAGTGAATTTTGAATGGTGATAACGTGTGGACTAAGTGTCTTGATGGATTTCATCGCTATTGAATATCCACGAACATTTTTCCACACTCTGGAACATATTAAATTGATTAATGAAATTTTAAAATAATTACTACTGTATTAAATAAAAATACACCGATTGAGAGAGCATTAAATAATGTCATATTTTATTCTGATTTCGTCTATTTCAATCGTAATACATATTTAAGGGTTCCCAGACTTGAACCCTTTACAATTCTTTATTTTCAGGTAAATTTCGGGAAACTGCCAGTAGTGCCTGGATATTCCTGGATATAATACTGTATAAAAATTGGAAGACGCTGATAGTTTTTGTCATTATCAATTTGTTCAGATCATTTGGAAGAATATTCCATAAACATCTAATAAAAAAAATAAAGATATATACACCGTATAATAGAGTTCTTCACATTTTCTTAATATCAACGATCAATAATTGTTGTCAGAGACGATGATTAAACTGGAGTAGAAGCGGGTATACTGCAAGATGTTTCCTGAGCGAGTGCAGCATTCCTGAGGACGAGGAGATGAGAGTCCATATCCTGCAGTGCCTGATCGATGAATGCTAATTTTCGTGCCTGACTCTTGGGAACTCCATGTTTGGTAACGAGTGCCAGGTGAGTCACAGCAAGAACTAGAGCTGCTACCCTTGCCTCCAGGAGTCGGGCATCAAGAGGTGGATACAAACTGCGCACTACGTCATCTACACGTGGGGGAATGCGCCTTGCCACCTGTTATTTCAATTAATATTTATGATTGAATCTCACATCAGGGAAAGGAGAAATCAGTAGATAAAAATGATGAAAATTACATCGACTATTTCCAGAGGTACGGTATTACTGTTTACAGTTCCAGCAATTGCAGTCAGACTTGCAGCTAATGAGTGACAAGATCTCAAAACAGCTATGCAGGGTGGAGCTAAGCCAGTGGCATCGTCAACCCACCTAAATCCAAAAGCAATAAACAAATAAACCGATTGATTCCTTCAACCAAAAACGTAAATAAAAAACCAATAAATTCGAACCTTTCAGCCCCAGCAAGCCACTCCTCCCCCTCCCACACATCTAATCCAAGTCCCAATCCATTTTCGCCTTCTAGGAGATCCGAATTCAGATCATTTGAGTCCTTCTGCTTCTGTAAATAATAAATGACGAAAAGTCTTACGAAAATCCTTATAAAAGACGCATAAAAATCGATTTTTTTCATCATCACGTACGTAATAACACCGCTGTCTCCTGCAAATGACCAGCAGGACAATCAAAGCCCCCAGGAAAACTGCAGCAAGAGCTCCTAAAGCAACAGCGACGACGGTTTCCATCCCTGGTGCTCCAGTGGAAGCACTTGAGCTGCTCAACAGAGGTGAGCTCATCACAGGCACGACATTCGACATTTCAATAAAGGAAAAACAAATAAAGAGAAAACAATAACTTGAAATTATGATCACATTGGCTATGCTGCAATCGTTGCAATCGTTGCAATCATCATCAGGAATGGTATCTCCTGGTGCTTGTTAATGGTTGAGATTGAGGCGCCTGGCACCAATTGTATTTCAGTGGGAGGCGGCTGTCAGCTGTGGCGGAGTGGCGGTATCAGTCACCAAGTAAAAGACTAAAACCAACACAGAAATATTATCAACTGCGTTTCCATTAGTCGACAACTCTGAGCGCCAAAACGTGCGTTTTTCGATTTCAATGAAGAAAATTTCCATTATCCTCACAGAGTGCAATAGAATAACACTTGAGCCAATTTAATTACCTTTAAATACTGTTTTATTGTTTCAACGACAATGGAATAATTACAACTAAATGCGAAATATGTACAATAAACGTAATACAATTGACATAAGTACTCGGCCAAGATACCATGCCATACAGTAACGATCATAAATTAAATTTTCATCGTTAGATATTTAATTACTGGCCGCAAATGTGAGCCTCAAGCTCACCCTATTCATTACAACAATCAATTAAAATACGCAATAGAACTGGTATTAGACATTAACGAGCTAGATACAATATTCAACCTTTAGATCTTCTAATTACGTTCAGTCATGAACTTCCTGAGGATTATTTATCCCACAAGAGGGGGAAAAATTCATTCGAGAATCTTCAAGATCAATTCCATTAAAAAATCTTGTAGAATATGTATAAACAATTTCTCCCGTTGATAGACATATATTGAAAGTTATTTTGGACTCTTGGTGGTGTCACCGGTGATTTTCTCGTCTTCGAGTTCCAATGCGAAATTCGTGATCCCAGTGATGTGCTTCTTGGGGGACCTGTTGAGGAGGTACCTGATGGGTGGGCTGAGGAGGTCGTAGTCGAGATCGGCTGGATCTTGAGGACCAGTGAGAAAACTGACGAGTGTCCCTATGATAACTGTGACAATGCAGCCGATGGCACTGTACCAGAGGTAGCTGATCCTGTAGAAGGAAGAAACCATTTCTGAAGACTCTGTTGGCATGGAATCCATTGCGGAAGTGTTGTTGAGGCCGAAACAGGATTCAATGGATGTGAATTTGGTCGTTGTCTCGATTTCTCCATTGAGCACAGCCACCTGAGCTCCCAGGCATATCCACAGGACAAGGACGAGAGCTGTGAGAGCTCCAGCTATCGTTCCCTTGGCGTTCGACCAGGGGATGAACATTCCCAGGGTGAACATCCCCAGGGTTATCCCTCCGACCATTCCATTGAAGGAGAGAGCAACCTGAAATGCAGATCAAGAAAAACATGAGCAAATCTTACGAACAATAAATGAATTTGAATGAAGACATTATTACACACCTGAAGAACACTTCCAAGACGTTCGACAATGAAGACAAAAGCGAAGCTGAGAACTCCGAAGAAGATGCTGATCCATCTGGCATATGCAGCTCCCTTGCTGGGAGGAACTTGAATATGGAAGAGCCCATTGAGAATATCCTCGCAGGTGAGGGCTGCTAGAGAGTTGAGAGCACTAGCTACAGTTCCCAGAGAAGCAGCGAAAATGCCAGCAACGAAGAGGCCAGGAATTCCGGGATACTTTCCCATGAAGTTCATGACATAAAGGGGAAGAAGTTGATCCATTCCTGATATCTGGGATGCCTTCAGAGGGTCGCAGGTCTTGTACACCGAGAAGAGGACCATTCCGGTGAGGAAATTGATGGTGTAAATGACAATGAGGCTGAGAGCAGAAACCCAGAGGGCCTTTCTCACTTGACCAATCGATTTGACACTCATGTATTTCTGCACAGATGCCTGATTGCTGCAGAACATTGTGGCCCAGTAGAAGGTCCCACCCACAACGACACTCCAAAAGCTGTGGCGAATTGTAGGACTGGGATCCATGACGAAGAACTCGATCCTATCGGTATCCCAGCTGTCTTTCCACACCGAAGATATTCCTCCTGCATTGATCATACCCAGGGCGACGATGACAAAGAGGGAAAGGAGCAGAACAATAGCCTAAACAAGTTTACACCAAGACAGGTAGTAAGTACCCAAAGTTTCATATTTTTATTCTAACTTTCGCGTAGATTATGAGAAAATTATGGAAAATTGAAAAAAGCTCAAAAACTTGAAAACTTTGTATGGGTAGATAAAAAAAATTGAAATCCAATGAGCCTTTGAGGATATATCGAGGAATGTATTTGATAAAAAATGAAATATCTTGGAAACTAATCATACGGTTATGTCCACCTAAAAAAAACCGCCCGATAGATTATAAGATCTACATTCATATCAAATTTAATCTTTTTATGGCAATTTTTTTGGTGTTTATCTTACCTACACCGATTTTTCTAAAAAAACAATGAAAAATGTTAACTGTGATATAATCACGTAGCTGTGGAGATTTCCGAAAAAACAGAATTATCGCGAGATTGCTATATTTCGAAAGAAAGTTGGCCAATCGATTTGGAATTTCGGTTGAAGCAAAAAATGAGCTTGCTGATGTGTCTGAAGACAAATTAGGAAAAATGTAATATCGTTCTCAACGATTTCTTAATTACCTGGAAGGTGTCCGTCATAATGACGGCTTTCATGCCGCCCTGAGACGCATAAAAAATGCAGACAACGTAAACAAGGGACACAGCTATGTATCTATGAAGTCCAGTAACGTGACTCAAAGCTAGAGCTGGAGCATAAACAGCAACCGATGTGTACAGAATCATTTGTAGCATGTAGAGACCACTGGCTAGGAGTCTGCAGTGCCTGTGGAATCTCAGGTTGAAGTACTCGTAGCTCGACGTCAATCGCAGTTTCATGTACACCGGGAGGTACAACTGCGAGGTGATGGGAATCACCAGGATAAATGAGACACATGTCATCCAGAACTGGGTGCCTTGGGAGTACATCTCCGCGGGATTTCCCAGCAATTCAATGGCAGTGATGAAACTCGCCCCGAGGGACATAGCCATCGGCAAAGTCCCCATGCTGGATCCACCCAGGAGAAAATCCTGACTGGTCTCCTGTTTTTTCGTGCAAAATGCGTAAAATGTCCCGATGAGGCACGACACCAGGAGCATAACACCCAGCACTGAGTAATCCACCCATAAAAAACTGTGCTCCAGTGTTGGATGTGCGTTGATGGACTCCTCCTGGGATGTCTGGTGCTCTGCTGAGGACGTCCACAGCACCAGGAAGAGAATCAGCAGTCGGAAACGCATCTTCAAAGGAATTACTATTAGCTTTTTTCAATTTCCGTTTCAGAAATTTCTATACGTTCTCTGCTAATAAATTAATCACATATTTCTGGATGAATTCAAATTATTGGAGGAACTTAAAAAATCGTAATTGATCCATTTTTGAATAATCAATATACTGGCATTAGCTCCAAATTTGAATTCGCACGAGACAAGGATGAATAAAATTTATTAGTTTAGAACTACACTTATATAAATTATTATTTTTCAAGTTATCGTTGGGCGCGATTTTTTGGGTGAATCGTGAAATCGTGGAAGTGAAAAAGGAAAATTTTCAGTTCGGGTATGTTACGTTTTTCTAAATGAGTACTGTCAGCATAATTATTGAAATCCTTTGATGAATTGGTATCAAACGCGAGAGGATCAGCAATCGGAGATATAGTACAGTAAATGAATTCTGGCTGAAACTGGATAAAAGTGGATACTACAGGTTTATATATGTAACAGGATATCCCAGGAAGACCACCAGGAATTCGAGACTCCATCGATTTTCATTGGCCTTCCACAGGTATTAGTCAACGCCCCAAGCTTGTCATTCCCCCAACTGTTGTGTACTATTAAAAAATTCAAAAGCTCCGGGAGTTCATTGAATTATTCTAGTAATGTCCAATCAATAAAAAAAATCCTTCGCGAGGTGAATCCGTTGGAACGGGATTTTTATTTATTTGGCGGAAATAATTCAAATAGGATATCATAAATTAGTACTTTCGGAAACAATGACAATAGACTCGCCGAGTAATATCCTTTAATGCCCAATACCACCGTCGCGTTATCAAGGTAAAAACATTCGTAACCGGTAATTAAAATCCGATTACTTACCTTTATTTCACACTTGTTGGTCACTCTCACGTACTTTAATTGCGTTTATCGTACGTTAAAATATTGACTATTATTGTTTCACTATTTTTGAATTCACTAGTTAATGACCAACAATAGAAATGTGCGAAATTGGAGTTGAATTATTATACTCGTCTTCCTGACGTAACGCATAAATGTAAATCTATTAGTAAAATAAAATCATAAATCCGCGAAAAAATCAGCAATTACTGATTTATTAGATTTTTAATTTAAAAATTTTATTGGGGTCTGAAAAAAATGGCGTAATTGTTGTAATTGTTGGGGAAAATTGTCGATAGTAAAAAAGAGTAGATAATAGTGGTTTTGGAGGAATCGACACTGTCAACTGGATTAAACCGGAGTTTTGTTTTAAGACTGATCATTTTAATTGTCATATGCGCCTTTATACGATCTCAGTCCCTACCACTGGAATTGTTTTGCGGCGAGATTGTTTCCATCCACGTTACACATTTCAGATACAACGACAACAACATACATTGGGACTCTGTGAGAAGGCGTGAAAAAAATGTGACCATTTCCAGTTTTGAAGCTCTTGAAATTCCTGAAAAATTGATTCCGTTGTGTCATCATGAAAAATTGATTGGATTGATGATTCGCACATGATTCAGTCATTTCTTGCAATTCGTGGAATTAAAAATAGAGTAATCAACACAGAAAAAAGCTATTACGTCTATTGAGTTGTAATTTAAATAAAAAAACGAATGGAAACCAGTAAATTTCCGATAAACAATTCAATTTTGCAGTTAAGCAGTTAAGCGTTCAGTCAATTTTTCATAGATATCCCCGAAAGTAAGGAAAATATCGAATTTCATGTTGTAATGTTTTTTCTAGCTTTCGATTTACTCTATAAAAAAGTTCCTGCACAAATTTGATAATTTTTCATAGTTTCGGAGATATTTCCGTATGCAATTATTTTTCGAAGAAGAGAATTGGGAAGAACGGAGTGGCGAAGAGCGCGTCAAGTTGCTGAGATTGTAAAGCTCTCGTGGTTCAGCATCCAGATTTTATCCTTCTTCCCCCTAAATACTATCTGCAATGAGATCTCCAAGAATATCCGGGGGGTTGTGTAGATCAAAGAGGGGGGAAAGTGGTTGAGTTGGAAAGTACCGGTTTTGGCACAATGTTTAAGCGTATTTTTGCTCCAATTATGACTGAGACATAAAAATTCTCATTGGATCAATGAAAATGTCACTCCGCAGAGATCAATCGCCAAGTTCTTTCCAATTATCGAACAGCTATTGATTGTTTCATTGTTTTCAAATACTATTGGCTTGTTTTTAATACCGATTTTTCCACGATATCTAAAAAAATTCTCGTCGATTGTTACACAGCATAAATCGCAGTTTGAATTTAATTGGAGATCATTTTTATTTTCGAGGCGAAGGACAATAGCAAGTGATACTTGACACCCCTAGATCGTATCATAGATGATGATGGAATTCTTGAGATTAATTAATTGACGTAACGAGAAAGCCTCGTGGGGCCTCTAGGCTTGATGAAGAAAATCCTCTTCCGAACTAGTGTGTGATAGTCTAGTGAGAATTAGAATGAGAGGGAAAAAACACTCATTTCTGAGTGAGTGAGTGAGTAGTTTGGAGATGGATAACCATCAGTTAACGTAAAAGAATAGGAATTGAAACTGGCTTGAGCTGGTCAATGTTGGCTCTGTCCAGATTTAGAGGCGCGTCACAAATTGCTGGAGAATCCCCAACGTCTTCTTTGCCGTATACATCTGTTAGGCTAATTGCCTAATTCACCATTTTAATTGGGGCTATAGCTTTGGGCCCAACTTTTCCATTCCGCTGTCGCTAGTTTTTCGAAATTGATGGACAAATCAGAAAATTTTTACAACGCCTTCAACCCTCTTGCAAAATTATACTTGCAATTTCAAATAAGCAATTTGAATTTTTCTAACGATGGATTAACATGGAATTTCTGTCGAATTCTTCACTGACAAATCAGTACATTTTTTTATGTATTTGGTAATGCTCAATTTTTTAATTCATGTAGCAGTTTCCCTGAGTTTTCAGTCTATTGAAAATTCAAATTTTCATTGAAAAATTAAAAATATTCAACATGAAAAACTCGATTTTCTGGAATTTTAAGATAAATGAGGAATTTCATGGCTGTTGTTAATAAAAATTGAATTGAAACTCTAAACTTGAAAATTCATAACTTTGTGCTTGATATGTCAAAAAATTTTTAACTGTGTATTTGTATTTGTCAAATGCAAAATTTGTAATTTTTGTGACTATGATTAGTAATTGAAAAAGTTTATATTATACCCAGTTAAAAAATTGAATGACTTTGGTATAATAGGTGGATAGGTCATAGGATAATCAATCGATAAATTTAGGACGATGGGAAATTGAATGAGTCATCGCCACAGGTTTTAATAGTGAGATTTTTATTGATTGCTGTAGTAAATACTGTATTTCACTTGATAACACGATATTATAAATATTTTTTCAACTCTTAAAAGCCCAATATGATTAATCTAACAATTTTATTGGCCCAGATTATCCTCGATTGATCCCGTACTTGTTTGTTCATTCATTTGGACGCTGTCGAGTCAATCGAGTGATGAAATTTATTCTACTTCTTACATGGCTGAAATGAAGTTGAATAAATTATTTTCCCATGCGCTATCCCAATCCAATTTCCTAAATTTCAACAATTCATATATTTTCTCTTCTTTTTTGTTCAGACTGGATTTTCTTATTTTCTCTCCATTGGCAAATATAAATCTCCGATTTTCGAGGTACACTAAAATATATTTTCTAATCCGTAATATGTCGTGCCTACAACGTGCAAAATATTCACGTTAAAAAATTCTCGAAAAACTGTAATGATCTTTTTGGAGTAAAAAACTATTTTTGCGGTGATAAAATGTATAAAATGAGGAATTAAGTACTGATACATTGGATAATTGGCAGTTATCACGAAAAACTTGAAATGCTTGAAAATCGAGATAGCACGGATTATCCAAAAAAATACTATGATTTCAGTATTTCGGATATATCATCATGGAAGACAAATTGTGATCTCCACACATTTTCACTTAAATATTAATTATAGTCTTGAGATTGAGTACCATATTTTGTACTTTAACACATCACACACCTCTCGAGTCCTTTTTTTTTACTGATACATCCCTGACTCAATCCTATAAACAAAAGTATCAAATTATCTAACAAATGAAACTAAAAAGACACCTAATAAAAATATCAAAAAATCTATACCATTCATTTCATTCAAGGGAAGACCCTTTAACAAAGTAACTAGCCATAAAATATCTAATTGAGCTTTACAATTCAAAATTACAGTTCTCAGGAATAATTAAATCAATTAATTTGAATCAATTGAATTAATTAATTCAAGTAGATTGTAATGAATTAAATTCATTGTAATTTAATTTAATTAAATAATAATCCACTATTCAATTGATAAACAAAGGTAATCAATTAAATATTGGTAGAATTTTTGAGCTTGATGGCAGGATCATTGAGACTGAATGAATATTTTTTAGCATAAATGCTCCCTGGGATCCCTTGAATGTCGATATCCTTTTGCATTCTCCTCCTAATTCTCGCAGCAATGCATGGAAAAAAGAGATTCGGATTGACATACATTTCCTCCTCATTACAAAAGCACTTGGAGACTTGACTTGCAAGCCAGCCAAGTATTAAAGTGATGAGGGCCCCGAGAGGTGCATACCACAAATAAGAGATTCTGTACAGATAGAAATATCGACCCTCTTCAGTCTCAGTCCCAATCCCAGGAGCTGCCACATTTTGATTAACAGCGAAGGTTTGCATCATGGCAGCAAGAGTTTCATTGATGGAAACGAGAGGATTGCAGTTGACAGTGGAAGTGGGAAGTCGTGGTGCATTAGGTCTAGGGCCCCCGAAGGCAATCCAAAGAAGAAAAGCCAGGGCAGCAGAGAATCCAGTGATAGCACCTCGTTGATTAGCTGATTCGCAGAGCATCCCCAGAGTAAATAATCCTAGGAGAGGACCACCAACCACTCCAAAAATGGTTAAGCTAGCCTGAAGAATGCCCCCTAAATAATGAGCCAAAAATGCCAAAAGGATGGATGCCAGTCCAATGAGAAATGCTAGCACTTTACTCAAGACAAGGCAATACTTTGGGCTCATTTCGTTGCCTGTCTTCATGGAATACAGTGGTTTTATGTAATCCTCTAGAGTCATTGCTGACAGAGAATTGAGGGCTGCTGAGATTGTGCTGAGACCAGCACTGAATATTCCAGCGATGAATAATCCAGGGAGTCCGGGATACTCCGACATATTATTCATCACATAATATGGCATCAACATATCGAATTTGATTTTCTGATCCTTTATGGGATCGCAGTCGTGATATTTGCTGTAAATGGCAAGTCCTGAGAAACAAGTTATGATAGACAAGGCTGTGAGGATAGGCCAGTTGATCCAAAGGGCAGCTCTTGCGCTCTTCAAGCTCCTGACAGTGAGTAATCGCTGAACTTGAACCTGATTGACGGCATAGAGGGAGAGGAAGGTGCAGCCTCCACCGATTATGAGACTCCACCAGCTATGTCTAGTCGTTGGATCAATGGAGAAATTGTCGAATTCAATTCTTCCCCCTCTTTCAGCGATATTCCAGATTTCTCCAAAACCACCAGCCGCACTCGATGCTGTGAAGATGACGAGGAGCAATGAGGCAAACATGAGGAATGCTTGAAATACATCGGTAATTAACACGGCCTTGATCCCACCGATGCTCGAATAAAAGGCACAGGCCAGACCCACTATGAGAATACTCGCTGTTTTTGATAGACCAGTTGTCGTCTCGAATGCTATTGCTGGGGCATAGAGAACTATTCCCGAATACAACAGCAGCTGAATCCACAGGGCAAAACTTGCCAGGACTCTGGTCGATCCGCCAAAACGTTTTTCCAAGTACTCGTAGACACTTGTCCCCTGCAGCTGATAGAAAACTGGCAGAAATCCATAGCAAACTATTGGCGTGCACAAGAGGTAGGACAGATTAATCACAACGAATTGTGTTCCGTAAACATAGTTCTCTGCTGATACTCCCAGCAGTGTTATTGCTGACATGAATGACACCATCAGAGCTATTCCAACTGGGAGAATACTCATCGATCGATTCGCTGAGAAATATTCCTGTAAATATTGATGAATGTCAATTGCCTATGTTTTGTCCCCCCTTCAGTGGTGAGTCATTAATTTCAATAAAAGGTCAATCAATTCACCTCTATTGTCTTCTGCTTCCCACCAGTGAATCTGTAGTAGATTCCAATGCCAATACTTATCATCAGCATCACTGCGATTACTAAATAATCTGCCCATTGCAGTATGTGCGTGATAACCATAATTCAAATCTGAAAATTAATACAAGCATTATTCTCGGTACAATCAGAGATAGTCTTGTGGCTTTTAATCTAATCTCAGAGGCAATAGTCTGTTTATGGGGGGATCGTGGAATTTTATCGCCTTCGTGTACAATTAATTGTTCGCAGAACATAAAAAATAAACCTGAAAAATTTACTATTGTCAATATCATTTCAAGGAATATTCATATTTCTATTTTTAAGGCAAACTCGTCAAGAAAACTCCGGAATACATAGAAAAGAAATTACTTAATATTCTGTAAATTCGTGAATTTGGAATGCGTTTCGAGAGAAATTGCTCTTCGTGTAGAAGGAATTCGCACAATTGCCTCTAAATTTTATTGGGAACTCTCATAACAATTTACACCAGAGAACTTCGATGATTACAATTTAACAACATAGTAGGTAACAGAATGATTAATAACACGCTCCGAAGGTCAAATCAATCACCATTGTAAATATCTGAGAACCATAAATTTTCCAGTATTTTTCCTATCCTTGAAAAGCAATAAGTTCAAGAAATTGTGAGAGAATTTAAAGTGAAAATAGAGAAACTACAATAATAGTCATAAATACCAATTGAATTGGGAAACCGCAACGGTTGTTCACTCGTTAAATGCGTAATCAATTTTCACTGCGGGTAAACACGTGAATTCTTGCGTAAGAAATTCCAACTAATTAAGTGATTAACAAAAAAAATTATGAGGAATGACACCAATTGGGTGTCACTGGCCTTGATCCCGTAATTAAGCCAGCATTAATACAAAAAATCACTTACGAATGAAGAAAGTGGAGTAGAGACTAGGGAGAAAATAGAAAACCGTCTTCTTCCTCAAGTAATCACCGACTGTTTCCTTCAAAGTCAATCGCTAGAATGACACCTAAATTACGATCACTTACACATGGAAGACATCATGTGTATATACTGATAGAGTAATCGATTTTAGCCGGTACCTTACAGAACCTAACATTCAAATCCCCACCAATACCTCACGTAAAAAATAAGTAATATATAAAAATAAATTAAAACTAAAACAAAATTTCCGACAGTAAAAAAACGAATTTAAAAAGATCGTCGCGAGACGATTACTATAAACAATAGAAAAAACATTTCAATCATGCCCATCATGCCGTAGTAAAATGCAAAATTTCCCGCATTTTTCTCTCCTCGATGTGCGCACCACCTCCAGGAATTTCTCATAATTAATTGAAAAAACTCCTCTGACATTTTTTAATGGCTGAAACGGTGTGATCAGTGATTCTGGGTGACGTGTCTCAAATTATTTCAAACTAATTACCAAAATCTCAAACATGAATGCCTTTAAACGTGACAAAAAGGAAGAGGAAGATGGTAAGTATTCCAGAACCTGATAAATACTCGATATTTCTTCATTAGAATCATATGATGCAATGATGCACAATCCTGCAGCTTCTTTGACAGCTTCTTCTCGATCCCACGAGCTCAACTGAAAGAAATAAACATAAAATTGTGGTGTTATCTTAGGTGGAGGAAATCCCTTCCAGAACTTGGAGAAAACAACAGTTCTCCAGGAAGCGCGAACCTTCAACGACACTCCAGTTCACCCCCGAAAATGTTCTCACATCCTGACAAAGATCCTCTACCTGATAAATCAGGGCGAAGTTTTGGGAATGACAGAGGCAACAGAGACATTCTTCGCAATGACAAAATTATTCCAATCCCGAGATGTTGTACTGCGTCGTCTGGTGTATCTTGCGATCAAGGAATTGAGTTCTATCGCCGAAGACGTGATAATAGTGACATCAAGTCTGACCAAGGACATGACAGGAAAGGAGGATCTGTACCGAGCAGCGGCAATCAGAGCTCTGTGCACGATCACAGATGGTGCAATGCTGGCAGCCATCGAGAGATACATGAAGCAAGCAATCGTTGACAAGTCACCAGCTGTTTCCAGTGCAGCTCTGGTCTCCTCTCTGCACCTCTCGAGTGTCTCAGCAGATGTGGCACGTCGGTGGGCAAATGAGGCCCAAGAGGCATTAAATTCTGACAACGTTATGGTGCAGTATCACGCCCTGGGGGTTCTTTATCAGGCCCGCAAGCAAGACAAGCACGCTGTCATAAAACTCGTTGCTAAGCTCATTAGATACAACCCCAAGAGCCCCTACGCCGGATGCCTGCTCATTAGGATGGTTTGCAAGCTCCTGGAGAACTCAAACGAGGGTGGAGAACTCCTGGATTTCATTGAGTGCTGCCTGCGCCACAAATCCGAGATGGTGGTGTACGAGGCAGCCCATGCCCTTGTAAATCTCAACAGGAGTGGAACAAGGGAGATAGCTGCTGCCATCAGCGTTCTCCAGCTCTTCTGTGGCTCTCCAAAACCAGCACTGAGGTTTGCAGCTGTGAGAACTCTCAATAAAGTCGCTATGACTCATCCGGCAGCTGTCACAGGCTGCAATCTCGACCTCGAGAACTTGATTACTGATCCCAACAGGTCCATTGCCACTCTGGCCATTACAACACTCCTCAAGACTGGAGCTGAAAGCTCAGTGGATAGATTGATGAAGCAGATTGCCACATTCGTCTCTGAGATTTCTGATGAGTTTAAAGTAGTTGTAGTGCAAGCCATTAGGGCTCTCTGTCAGAAGTTCCCGAGGAAACACGCAGTCCTAATGAATTTCTTGTCAGCTCTGCTGAGAGATGAGGGAGGACTGGAATATAAAGCTGCAATTGCTGATACAATTATTGCAGTGATGGAGGGTAATGCTGAGGCGAAGGAAGCAGCTCTAGGTCATCTTTGTGAGTTTATTGAGGACTGCGAGCACACTTCACTCGCTGTGAGGATTCTTCATCTTCTGGGGCAGGAGGGACCCACCTCCAAGCAGCCCTCACGGTACATCAGGTTTATCTACAACAGAGTCATCCTGGAGAGTGCATCTGTGAGGGCAGCTGCTGTCACTGCACTGGCGAGATTCGCTGCTGTTTGTCCAGATCTTCTTCCCAATGTCCTTGTGCTTCTATCGAGATGTCAGTTGGACTCTGACGACGAAGTGAGGGATCGAGCTGCTTATTACTGCACGATTCTCCAGCAGCAACAGCAACAACAGCAGCAGGACTCGAGTTTGCTGCCACTTATTCAGCCTCCACAGCTGTCAATTCCGAGTTTAGAGAGAGCCCTGAAGAATTACGTGAAGACTAACATGGATGAACCCTTTGATATATCCCAGATTCCCCCAGCTACTCTTGAGAAAGAGCCTGTGCCTCAGGAGATTCAACTTTCTGTCAAGCCCACACAGCCGAGACTCACGAGGGAAGAGAGTTATGCTGAGAAGCTCTCACAGGTTCCCCAGCTTGCTGCCATCGTCCAAGAATCTCCACTTTTCAAATCCTCACCCGTGTTTGAGCTCACTGAGTCTGAGACCGAGTACAACGTCAAGTGCATCAAACATTCCCTTGGGGATTACCTAATTCTGCAATTTGACTGCGTTAATACGCTGTCCGATCAGCTCCTGGAGAACGTGAGTGTAGCTGTGGAAGCACCTGAAGGATACACTGTCATCCAGGAAGTCGTCTGTCCTAAATTAGCGTATAATGAACCCGGGGTGACGTACACTGTGCTGATGTACCCTGAGGACCTTCATGCTTCAATAGCCACGGTTCCTACGACTTTGAAATTTGTTGCCAAGGATTGCGATCCTGCCACTGGAATTCCTGAGGTTGAGCAGGGATATCAGGATGAGTACATGCTGGAGGACCTTGAAATAACTCTCGCAGATCAGATGAGAGGCTCAGCAACTAGAGGAATGGACATGGCATCTGCCTGGGAAGCTGCAGCCACTCGTGGGTTCACCTCCATGGAAGACACCTTTGCACTTGGCTCCAATGTTACAACTCTCGAAGCTGCTGTGCAAAGTCTCCTTGGATTCTTAGCACTCGAACCTCAGGAAAGAAGTGATCGAGTCACTGCCGGTGCCACTTCTCATGTTCTCATGCTTCATGGGTTCTTCAGGGGAGGCAAGGAGATCCTGGCAAGAGCTAGACTGGCATTAGCCAATTCTGAAGTCACAATGCAACTCTCGATTCGATCCCAGGATCCAGAAGTTGCGTATGTCGTTCTCGCGTCTGTCGGGTAATTCCGGAGGATTCCCATCCTGAAACTGTATAGGAATTTATTACTGTTAGTTATCGTTAAATTAAGTCAGCATTGTTTTTTCTCTCGTGTAATTACAGAAAGGAGATATAAAAATAAAATTATATAAGAAATGGGTGATCTTATTTTACGTGTAAAAATTGTTTTCCTCTTTTACATGGCAGCAGTGTTAGTGGCAATTAAAAGCAAGTAATGAATGATTTGAATAGCCGGATATTAGGCACACGATATTGATCCTTAATCTGATAGGTTCGGAGTACGAACTGCTACCAACATATTGAAATTAAAATTCTCCGCGTCGTAATTACATTCCATGAAGAAAAGCATTAAATCAAGTTATTGTTGTATGAAAATCCCTTGAAATTTATGACTTTTTACTTAAACAATAGGATATGATTGGTAGAATCTTGGTAATTAGCTCTGAAATTCTGATAAAATCAAAGTTATTCAACAACAATTATCCGTAGATATTTTTTATTGCGTATTACAACAAATGGCAGTCGAATTACACTACTTTCACCTAGAAAATTCAAGGAAAGAAAATTCTAGAGGCTCGGAGAAAAATAACTTTTGTCCATGAAAATTCCCGCTGACAGAATAAATTCATATAATAACATACGAAATAAATAAATTCCATTAGGAAATGATTTTTTAGATTTATTGATTTCTCAAGATGTAGGAAACCACGGAATAAAGCAGTGGACAATTATGTGAAATTTGAAAAAAATCGTCGATCCCCAACAACATCCGGTTTTGGACTTCCTGCCGCCATGTTGGCACTCGACAAACATTTTCGCGGCAAGGAAAGACGCCCCAGACGACGCCAAAGTACTAGAGTAGCGAGGACATACGTACAGCGTCTGTAGTTGGTGTGTTGAAATATCCAAAAACGCGTGAATAATTCAATCTCAAATTACTAGGACACATTCCTGTACCGCAATCATAATCCAATCACTTGTAAGTACTGAATTTTCCATTATTCTCTTCCAAATATATGAAAAATCCACATATTTTATGAAACGTAGAAGTTCCCGGTTGTTTTACCGCCATTTTGCCCACCATGTTAATGATTACCTCTCGTTTTTATTCCTTTGCTGTCCTCGTTAGCCTCGAAATCACCTTGAAAAATCATTGATTAATTGTTATGAGGAACCCATCACCTCGTTTGGCATATTTATCACGTTTTTCACTAGTAGTCATCACCTGTGAACTGCATCCACTGCAAAGTGTGCATTCTAACCGGTAATTTGATTCCAACGGCCGTTCTGGCCACACGAAATCAAAACGAACCATCAAAATACACATCACCAACCCTTGGTATAAACCGTTATTATCCTGCAACAATTGTCTCCTGGCTGCAATCACTCTGGTTTATTGTTAGTGTCGGTTGCTTGTCTCGTTTCGCTTTTCGGAAACAAGACAGGGAATTTTCCGTTGTAATGACAATGGAGAGAAATCACACAGAGGATCACTTATCGCCTCTGGTGTTCTTTTTCATTTCAGCGAATTGTTTTTTTTTTACTCCGTGACATCATGTTTTTGGTTTTGATATGTTTTATAACTCATGGAATTTCAGAATTGTGAACTAATTAGTTTCTGAGTAGTTTTTTTTTTTTACTTTTTCTCACACTAATTTGGCGAATTGGGAGAAGATAATCAGAATAAACGACATTTTCATCACTAGGCCCAAAAAACCGCGATTCTAACCTCACTTCGTTCGGTTAAATCGCGGTTTTCAGGCCCAACGACGAAAAATTTTGTGTCACACAAAAGTATTATCTTCCGAATGTGATTATAATATAAACTCACATTCGTTAGGTAATACTTTCATACTCCGGTGACATGATGTACTATTTTCACACCTCTTGAATTTCAGAAGAATGCATTTCAATGGTTACTTATTAATTTACTTACGAATTATTTAACCGATTTTACTATTTAATTACCACGGGTATCTTGGCAAATTGACTACATCGTTGATGATTTGTGAGAGTTAATGAGGACAATTATTCCGGAGAGATTCAATTTTTCCTTCTCTTTCTAAACAGGAAGCAACCTTTTGAAGGTTATTAGTAATGTAATTATTATTCTTTTATAGTGACAACGACAAACAATGAGTAAATCTAAGGATTCACCAGTCAATGAGACCGAGACGGAGGAGGAGTTCAGTGTCGAGAAGGTTTTGGACAGGAGAGTGAGAAATGGAAAGGTAAAATCTAATTTCTCAAATTCATGGATAGATCCTCTACTTGGGAAGTTGTGATTGTAATTTCGGAGTGTGATCCACAGGTCGAGTATTTCCTCAAGTGGAAAGGTTACTCGAACGATGAGAACACGTGGGAACCTGAAGAGAATCTCGATTGTCCTGATTTGATTTCTCAATTCGAAGAGGCACGCAAGAAGAAAGAGGCTGCCAGTGGGAAACATCGTGAGGAAAAGGAGCCCAAGAAGAGAAAGAGTTCAAGCACACCAACTCCAACCCAGCCAAAGAAAAAGATCGTTGATGATAAGAAGTTGGAAGGTAAGATTAATGGTCCATTTATATTCCGTATATTTCCAATACGGAAAACAAGGTCTTTCTAAAATTTTCTCTCGGTGGCATCTTAAGTAGAATTAATACTCACAAAATTTTCCGCCCTCAGGCTTCGACAGAGGTCTAGAACCCGAGAGAATTATTGGTGCAACTGACTCAAGTGGGGAATTAATGTTCCTCATGAAGTGGAAAGGAACTGACGATGCAGATCTGGTGGCTGCAAGAGTGGCTAATGAGAAGTGTCCCCAAATCGTTATTAAGTTCTACGAGGAGAGACTCACGTGGCACAGTCCCACACACGACGAGGAGGGCTCCAATAAGCCCGATCCAGAGTAGCACTCAGCCTTTTCGTACACCTATACAGCTCGTTTTAAGATTTGTCATATCTAAGGATTCCTCGAAAGATCAGACTCATAATAAACGACATATAAATATTCGCATTAACACTTTCAAAGTAAATATCTAATTATTAAAGTCAGAGAAATAAATGTTGAATTATCTTCAAAAAGGGTTTGAGCTTTGGAAAAAATTAACTGATTACAACATTATCAGTGGAGCAGATAAAATTGAAGGGATAAAGGACGGTATATTCGATATTTTTTATTACCAGTTAATAATAAAACAAAAAGTACGAAAGTAGATTTAAGGAGGAGATTTTTGAATACATTTCAAAAAAAATTCAGTTGTGGAATTGGTGAGCACCTCATTTCAAATTACCTCATTAGTGGTTGATTTTACGAGAAAATTTAGACACGTTTTTACAGTTACAATTATTAATAATTGCCGGCTAGGATTCTTGAATTTTCACTCGAAATTACTTGTGAAAACGACAAATTGATGATCGAAAAATCAGTGCGAATGGAGCAGTGATATTTTGCGAAATTGTAATATTTTCTAGTTGAGAAATTTCTTCAGCTTTAAAAAAGTCAACTTTTTCTTCTAGAATCACCTATTTTTTTTTTAAATAAAGTGGTAATTACAAACTATTCAGTGGTGCATTGAATTGAATCGATTCACAATCCCACGACTGAGGTTTATGACAAGTTTATGACTGGGTATAAAAAGACGTCGATGGGACAAAATTGTCAGTTTGACTTTTGCCATCTCACGTATGAAAACAAAAAAGAAGCACCAATCGTTCAACATTCGGGGGAGATCTCTTTTTTTTTTTTCTCTAACTTGATCATTTTTTAGAGAACTCAAACCGTATCATCCTAGATTACTTATTCATTATATTAATAAAGTTATTTAAATAAGTTCTTTTTGAAAAAAACTAGATGTTCGGCGCAGTAGAAGGAGAATGATTTCCACGGGATTGTTTCAAGTATCTTGCGATTTTTTGGTGTTAACAATTTTAGGATTAAAATTTATTCCATTAATGTTTAGTACGAATGGGAACTCTCGATTTTGTTTTTTTTTGTTACTATAGTATGACAAATTTCTTTGATATATTATAAATGCGTTTCCAAAACTTCTACTGTAAAATAAAAAATGATTGACATACAAAAAAACGCGGAGAATTTATCTATGAAGCAACTTAATGATTTGGCAATCACTAGAACTATTTATAAACAATGATGCAGTTATGACAGTAAGTGGAAATAAATTTTAATTTGTAATGAGTTTTAATTGAGGAATGGAATTCTCTATTTTTCGAAATCGCAGCTCCCAAAACGTTTTATAGAAATAGGATGAAATGAAATGAAAATCAATTAGGGATAAATAATTTTAACAATTGTTTAGAAAGTCGAGGTAAGAGAGCCGCCATTTATAAAATTTCTTGTGGCAAAGGGAAGGAAACCGATCAATATGGCTGCGTTTACATCGTTCACCACCTCGAATTTTTTTCAAGACTTATTAATTAATTATTACAATAAACTCCGCAGAATTTCCCACATGATCTATTTTTTTATTCTTCAATAATAATTTCTAAAAATAAAACAAAAAATCGAATATTTCTTTCAATCCATTTTATTTGAATGATTCATTTTTTCTTTTGAACTTCTTGACATGTTTCGTCCCGTGAAATCCATTTTTATTATTGAACTTTCGTTTACTTCCGCCAAATTTCCCTGACAACTTCTGATGTCGGCCAATTTCCCAGTCCAGTTGTTTAGCACTGGCTCCGTCGACGTCACTGAGAGCATTGGACCCTCCGGACTTGTGTTTTGATTTTCCTTGCTTCTCTAACATCTCTGCGAAGTCCTCAGCAGACATGAAGACGTTGTCCATTCCCTTTTTCTTCATCTGGGATGGATTGTCATCGTTCGATTTTTTGGATTTCTTAGCTCTCAGGGGCAAGGGTTCGTCGTCTGAATCATTGAACTCCATGTCACTGACGTTTTCGTCGTCAATGTCGTCGAGGTCGAGGTCACTGCCTTCGTCGAGGTCATCATCATCCATCGAATCCCCATCGTCGTTGTATAAGCTGTCGTCTTCATCCCTTCCTGCCTCGTCAGACCCCTCGTCATCGTCATCCTGGTCTTCATCGTCTTCAATATTTTTTAGTCCACCTGATTTAGTTTACAAATAAAACTGTTAGTAAATGAAATTAAAATAAAATGCCAAATTCGCTGCGTCGATGAACTTTACCTTTCTTGACTTGAGCTCCAATGTCCCCAGCAATGTCCAGCTCCTCGACATCCTTCTCCCCTCTCAGTTGGTCCATCATCTCATTGAACTCTTCACTATTAACGCTGTCATTATCACTAACATCCTCTTCCTCCTTAACGCCTCTCGTCTCATTCCTCTTCTTGAGATACCTGTAGAGGAAGAGCTCATCCACAGGAATGCGTTCTTCCTTTTCATTGAGATACGCCAGACTGTCGACAGGAAGGGACCTCAGGCCCTTGGGTGTGTACCGTCCTCGCACAGCTAGAGGATCATTTGCCTTCGACACCTTCTTTGCCTCCAATTTCTTCGGGTTCTTGAAGACGTACCTATTCAGGAATCTTATTAGCGTCAGATCCTCCAGAGGATCGCCAGTGTACTCTATCGCCTTCCCCTCGATCATTTTCGAGGCAAACAGAGAAACACTGGGATGAAAATGGGAATGAAGAGACACGAGTTCGACTGCAGGAGCCTTCACTGCACCAGACCTCAAGGGATTCATCGAGAACGGATCGTAAAAGGGATTCGTGTCCTCTTCGATCTTAACTATGTCCTTTTTATCTTCATCCTCAGGATTGGTTGGCTCCACTGGGGTTGATACGACGTTCGAGAGGACAAGTGTATTGTCGATATGCTGGACATCATCATGTGATTCGTGATCCTCTTCCTGTGTTTTCCTTTTGGTTTCATCGTTTTCAGACTCTGTCGGACTTTCCTCTTGTGTCGTGGAGCTCTCAGGGTCTTCCTTCTCGACTTTGATGACAACTGGAGATTTGAGAATCATCTGTCTGAGGTCTTTTCGAAATTTGAAAAGCTGGGAGATGGAGTAGAGGGTGGCGCAGGCCATGCAGGCTGGGAAGAACATCGAAGCTTGGAGAATTCGTTTTACAAAGGCATAAAGACGAGACGTGTTCTTATCAGATTTCATCACCCTGTAGAGGAGGTTCAGAAAAACTGCTCGCTTCGCTACTGTCCCTATCTGGGGGTCCAGTAGCTTCTTGTAGAAAGCTGTGTAGAAGCGATTCTCTTGGGCAGGATTATTATTGGTGACTTGATGCAACAAACCCAGTGCATTCAACGCGACATTAAAAGAACCCACATGGACGACTCTGTAGACCGAGTCGATATGTTCATGAATTTTCACAGACTCTAAGTCAGCAAATCGATAGGCCCTATTAACTCCTGCCAAAATAGCAGCCATCATCCTGCTGTCAGGCTCGCCTTTTTTCAAGCAAGCCTTGAAAAAGGCGAAATAAACGTCGATTAGAGTTGTAGCGACCTCAGAGTCGCCTCTTTCCAGGACAAATTGACTCAACAAGCAAATAGAATAGTACTGGGCCCTCTGCGCAACATTAGTTCTGAACAGAAGCCTCTCAATATTCTTCAGGACTATCAACTTCATATTGGGATGCTCCAATAGTAATTTATTCAAACAGAAAACAGCCTTGGATGCTACTTTAGACTTGGGATCTCCAATTTTATTCACCAAGAAATCCAGAATCTTCTGCTCCTGCTCAGGATTCGATATGAGGAGATCTGTCATCACCCCAACAGCTTTCTCTCGATTCATTTCAACATTTTCAGCAGCTACTGAGGACAATGAAGTTAATAGCTTCTCGTACTGATCCTTCAGCTGATCCTCGAAGTACCAGTGAGCCAGCAAACGACTCCTGGGGATGAACTTCTGGTTCTTCGGGGTCTCGAAGTCATTTGCTGATGGCAATTCATCGAGCTTCTGCTCGTCAAATTTCAGGAGCTTGAACTCTGGATGGAGGAGATCTTCTAGGAATAGATCCCTAACGTCGTTGATCAGTGATTGTTTTTTCGAGTTTCTCTCCTGCTCTCCCTGTTTATATACTTTAAAGAGACCCTTCACCTGACCCACGAGGGCCGCCAAGCGTGGAAGATTGTACTTTGGATTTTCCTGGATCAGCAAGATTGATGCTGCCACCTTGTCCTTGATAGTTCCTCGCTGGGAGGCTGTCTTCAGCCAGTCGTACTCAGAGTCCTTGATTTTTGATTTTTTCAATTGATACGCTGCTGTCTCTGCCTCTAAATGTCTTTTAGCCTCTGCTTTCAAGTCCAGAATTTCCACTTCGGTTTTACCCGACTTTTGATGATCAGGAGACTTGGAATATTCATCGTACCACTTCTTCAAAGGCGGTGAGATTATGGAATCCCCTGATCTGCTATTCATCTAGAGAAAATGATGGAAAATAACGTGACTCAAAACAAACAGGATGATTGGAAATTTCCGAAACAAATAGTTACAGCAGGTTTATTGTTATTCATTTACTACGTACCTCGTGGTCGTGGTGCAACTTAACCCTGTGGAAAACGAAAGCAATGACAACTCAGCTGGGATTCAAACAGATTCCTACTGTCTATCGACGCCAAAGAGGATTGACTGAAGTAGATGCTCAGTTCTGGGGGTTTGAGTGACCCCAAAGGTATCGTAGTACTGCATCCCAAGAGAGGGAGGGCGCCACACACAATAAGGGTGTTGTCCCGTTCGCCAACTCGGTAACTGCCTCGTTAGTAGGCATGAAGAATAGAGTAAGGAGGCCGAACAATAGTGGGAGAATGTTCTAAAAGTGTGACACAGAGGGGTGAAGGAATGTAGTTCCTCTAGATAGCGCCGTATAGCGCTGACGTCACTCGGGTCTCAAATGCACATAATAGATGTTTCATGTATTGGTGGCTTTGTTGTGATTTGAAAATTTTATTCACACAGCGTTATTATTATTAAATTGGCCGATTAGATGTTTTTTTATTCACGCTAAAATAGCTGAAAGTTATTGGTGAGAACAAAGATGAGGAGGGTGTGTCCATTTCCTGGAGGTAAATCAGGAGCAGCAAATGATAAAAGACACAGTAAATCGGGTGGAGTGCGTAATAAAAGTTTAATAAATTTCCACATCAGGTTTGCATTAATATTTATTTTTTCACATGAGCTGTTGGGAATAGCAGTACAGAAGAAGGCGAATTACTACATAATCCGTCCTGTTTTTTGAAATTTCACTGTCAGAGGGACCAGTCGACAGGGTCAAGGTGAACTACGGGAACAAAAATACGTTTATTTTTGCGCTACGACCCATAGGAAGCGAGATAATCGAGTTTTTCTAAAAAAAAAAAAAATTGATCAAATCGACTTTTCGATACTTGAAATCGATGCGTCTCGTCGCGCCCTTTACAAATCTGGGCGTATTTTTGCGCTAGGACGCATAGAACGCGAGAAAATCGAGTTTTTCTAAATCGAAAAAAAATTCGCGAAAATCGACTTTTCGATACATGAAATCGATGCGTCTCGTCGCGCTGATGACGAATCTGGGCGTATTTTTGCGCTAGGACGCATAGAACGCGAGAAAATCGAGTTTTTCT